CATCGTGCCAGTCTGGATGAGGTGCTGATTTCGTCGCCCCGCAGGGGTGCATTGGGTAGATGATTGATGGGTGTCCCATAGCAGTTGGCCGGGTACTTCTTGAACTGTGCTGACTCTGCATCTTGGAAGATACATGGGTTTGTCTGAAAATAGGGTACCATTCTCAAATTTGATGGTTGATCACCATTTTTGCCCATTGAATTGGCCATTTGGGGGGCCATATCCTATTTTCAAACACAGCCATATCTTTACCCTGCACGAGGTCTTGGGCCTTTCCGAAGGCTATGACTGCCTGGGCAAAGCTGAGGTGCCCTCAGAACAAAGCCAGCATTCAGAAATTTCCAATACCTAAATGCCTAAATCAGGAATACATTCTGAAATAAATCTCAAGGTTTTCTTGTAGATACAGGCCGACCCAAGGGTGTGTGTGTTTTTTTTTATTCATTTTTATTTTTATACATACATTACATGGGACTGCCATGATACCCAGAATCCTCGGAGACAGATTCTATGTGCTCTGCAGCTGCTGATATTTCTATTGAAGAAGAGTAGATAGATTCTATTTTGACGAACAATGACTGTCAACTCTGTCTCGAGTGCAAAGAGCTGCAGGATTGGGATTTTAAGTTTTTGCCCATGTTGCTTGTTCGACAATTCGCGTGGCAGAATGTGGGAAGGTCTTGGACGACATTGGCAAACAATGGTGCTGTTCCAAGGGCCTCATCCCATGTGCTGGGAAGCCTGGAAATCTTGGTTTTACTGGGGAAACAGAGAGCCATCAGAAGCGTAAAACCATACCAGTACCGAACAAGAAGTTTCAAAGATAGGACACCTATAGGAGAGTTTGGTTGTTGTGACGCGTGGATGGCAGAGCAAACTGACTTTCTTTCTCTACTTATCTACCTGTCTGTCCATCTATCTATCTATCTATCTAACTGTCTATCTATCTGTCTATCTGTCTGTCTGTCTATCTGTCGATCTGTCTATCTGTCTATCTGTCTATCTGTCTATCTGTCTATCTGTCTATCTGTCTATCTGTCTATCTGTCTATCTGTCTATCTGTCTATCTATCTATCTATCTATCTGTCTATCTGTCTATCTGTCTATCTGTCTATCTGTCTATCTGTCTATCTGTCTATCTGTCTATCTGTCTATCTGTCTATCTGTCTATCTATCTATCTAGCTAGCTATCTATCTATCTATCTATCTATCTATCTGCCTATCTGTCTATCTTTATCTATCTTTGCATCTACCTTTCTATCTGTCTATCTGCCTATCTATCTATCTTTCTATCTTACTGTCTAACTATCAAGCTATCTATCTATCTATCTATCTGTCTGTCTGTCTGTCTGTTTGTCTAGCTATCAAGCTATCTACCTATCTGTCAATTTATCTATCTATCTATCTTTTTATTTGGCTATCTATTTATCTATCTATTTATCTATCTATTTGTCTATCATTATCTATCTATCTATCTATCTGTCTAGCTATCTATCTATCTATCTATCTTTCTATGTATGTATGTATCTATCTATCTATCTATCTGTCTGTCTGTCTGTCTGTCTGTCTAGCTATGAAGCTACCTATCTATCTGTCAACCTATTTATCTACCTATCTATCTATCTATCTAATTTATTTATCTATCTAATTTATTTATCTATCTAATTTATTTATTTATCTAATTTATTTATCTATCTATTTTTTTTTATCTATCTAATTTTTTATCTATCTAATTTTTTATCTATCTAATTTTTTTATGTATCTAATTTATTTATCTATCTAATTTATTTGTCTAATTTATTTATCTATCTTATTTATCTATCTTATCTATCTATCTTATCTATCTATCTATCTATCTATCTATCTATCTATCTATCTATCTATCTATCTCTCTCTCTGTCTATCTATCTATCTATCTATCTGTCTATCTATCTATCTATCTATCTGACTGAAACGAAGCAATTCTGCGAGGCTTCCTCAAAAAGTGGAGGTTGACAGGTCCGTCTACGAGACGTCTCCAAGAAATGAAAGTTCACAGCTTTGAAACAACGAATTTCGGCGAGACTTCCTCATTTTTGGCTATTTACCAACGACAAAAACCAAGACATTCTGCGAGACTTCATTCAAAAATGAGAAGTTGAGTGCAGAGCTGACGGCCCCGTGCCAATGCGTTTTGTGTGTTTTCTACTTCATTTGTCTAAAGTATCGCCAGCCACGAAAAATGAGGCCAGGTCATACGAAGTGCTGCACATGTCAGGCAACGTCATCTTAGCAAACCTGAAGATTTGATGCTCCAAAATGCAACCCCTCTCTCTTAACATGTTTGATGGAGATGTCTTTTGTACTGCGCCGCCTGCCACGCAAAATGCATATTTGCGGATCCTCTTCGCAACTGCTGCAAAACTTACACGTTTAGTTCACTTTTGGCAAGGTGCAGACCATTGCCCGTGCCAGGTAACACGACGCCTGGACGTCAAAAAGTTGTCCGAACATGTGGTGTTTTCAGCATTTTCACTTGGAAATCCGCGTGCATTTTTTCCACATCTGACTTCCCAAAAGTGGTCCGAACCTAAAGTTTGTATATATATATATATGTATATGTATATTTATATTTATATATATATATATATGTATATAGCATTTTCACTTCGAGATGTGCTTCGCGCCGCAAGCGCGTGCACTTTTTGAATGTCTGAACTGGCAAAAGTGCTCCGAACCTGAAGTGTTTTGTACGTTTTGAATTCAGAACGTGCTTTGCGCCACAGCGGCGTCCACTTTTTCAACAGCTCAACCTCCAAAAGTGGTCCGAGAATGAGAATGGTGTGTTTTCTACGTTTTCACTTCGGCATGCGTCTCTCGCCACAGTTGCGTGCAATTTTCGACATCTCAACTTCCAAAAGCGGTCTGACCTGGGGTGTTTTGCAATTTTTTGACGACCAAATGCGCTTCAGATGGCTCTGCATGCACCCGCCGCTTTAGTGAGCCTACTTTTCGACCTTCCAGAGCCACAGAGCATTGGAAGAACACGGTGTTTCGCGTCTTCCTACCTTTTCGCGGCTCTGACATGCTTTCTTCTTCCTTTCACATTGACTCGTCCGACCTCTGCTTTTCCATCTGTCCATATTGTCGGAAGTTTGACTTCTAATCTTACGTTTAAACGTAAGAAAACATCGCAATTCACAAGTGTTTCATTCTTCACCAATTTTTACCACACGCATTTTCCACTCGGCTCAGGGAGAAGCGTCCAGGCTGGCCGAAGACAGTCACGACCTCTTCTCGGAAGCCGCTTGGAGAAGGGTGAATCCCACAAGGGTTGGGTCGTTCAGGGTAACGATTTAGCAGCAATGATTCGGATATTCTTTGGAATATCTTATGTGGATATTTTGATCATTACAATTATGTAGTGATAGGCTATAGTAGCTATGGTATAACCAACTTCATACGATATTTGGGTGTGTCTAAAAATCGGGGAGTATATCGACAGAATATTAATCTTAATTGGACAGTGGTCACCGGTCATGACGATGATGATGATGATGATGATGATGACGACGACGACGACTGACCATCAAGGGGTACCCAATGTCTGCACAAACCCAAGAGTGGGAATGATCTGTTAAAACATTTTAATAGAAGAATTCTTGATTGCTTGCTGAACACCACAGAAGTGTTTTTTTGAGGGAAAACAAACAAAGCAGCTACCCCCGCAAAAAAATAGAACAATACACTATGGCAACGCATTACCACAAGTGCCAGATTCTCCATCGTGATCTGCACACCCAAGGACCTGCCAGACATGAATCGAGACCTTCTGGATGCGCCCCATTTCCCGCCTGAGACATCCTCTCCCTTGGAGGATGGTAGACATTGAAAAGAGACATGGGGATCAATGGGGATGGATCAAAACCTATGCCTATACCGTACTTGGGGGTGAACATCGGTAGTACATACCTGAGTCTTTTTGTCCATTACCAAATGCATCGTTTGCATTGCGAGACCATTGCCCCGCTTTGCACCAGAGTTGGTTTCACAGGCAGTCCAAGCAGAACCCAAGAATCCAAGAATGTGATTCTATGCACGTGACAGCTGCTCAAATGAAACGTGACTCTTTGTAAAGTTATTGCCAAGAATATGGGCACCAAGACATCTTCAGCAAATGAGCTGCTGTGGAACTTCTCATTTGCAGGATGTTGCTGACAGCGCGGAAACATCCACAGAGGACAACGTTTTTTGCACCTATAGCATTTGCCAAGAGTAGTGGGACTTCAACCCAGCTTTGACAACAGTGACAGTGCGTCGTTGCATCTCAGTTGTGCAGAACAGGAAGAGCCGGAAGAGCCGCCTTCGCTCGATGCGGGAGAGGCATAGATGAGATGGTTCCTGTTGCTGCGGGATGTCTTTCCTGCAGGAACGCATCTATGCTTCTGTTTTTTTGCCGCACTCCACTGCCAAAACAACAATTTGCTCGGACGTTTTGATCATGTAGGGATTTTGTCAGGTTTGGTGACGGATGCCATAGGTGAAGACGAGAGATGGTGATATCTTTGACAATGTTTGCACGGGTGCAGATACAATAAAGTAACATAAAGCAAGTCGGTCACTGGAATCGATCTAAGGTTTCAATCAAATCAGTCAAAATCTTGTGAATTTGGGTCGACATATTTGTCAAGAAAAGCAAAGGTGTTGTTCATTCCAATTAGGTATGTTGATGTGATACAGTCTGAACATATGCTTTCTTTGAGGCATCTGTTGGCAGTAACAACTTTTCCATCATACAGCAGCGTGCGTGTCGAGATACCGGACATATCCATTGCATAGCATGGATTCAATGATGGATAAAGGAACTCTTTCATACAGGATAAATATGGATTAATTATCAATGTGGTATGATAGTGAAACGGATAATTGAATGATAATTGATACAGGATCAATGACATATCCATTGGATCCCCACCACAATGTGCTCTCCGGCGCAAGGCTGATGATTTGGATGGCAGCTTTGCTGGGTTGGGCGAAGCCCATGTATCTTGGATCAAACTTTAATCCCATTAAACCCATTAAACCCATGGCTTGTGATCTCCAAATTCATCCCCTATTTAGACATATTTAGACTGTTTTTGTAGATTCTAACCATTTAGTAATGGTTGATTATATCCATGAATCCCACACATTAATGATGCTTATTGACAGACTCCATGGGAAGTATGGGAAGTGCTATTCAGGCTTGCCGAGTTAGAGTGCACAGGTTTGCCTCTGCAGGGTTTGTGGACTCAGCATGTCAGGGGTTCTCAGCAAAAACCCGATCTAAACCAGAGGGAATTGAGGATCCTGAGGATATCGGTGTTTCCCATAGATTTGACATGTTGTGCACATACCACTATCCGGTGGTTTTGAAGGGAGCTAAGGAACTACCAAGAGTTTCCCATAGACTTTTTCACTGAACATCAATCCATTGATCAAATCTAAGCTGAAGCTGCCTTTTGGCATTGCAACTACAAAACTGGACGCGCCGTCCGTAGGATGTCAGTCTAGGTTCTTGCAGTTCTCTTTAGATTGGAATCTTAGGACTGGAATGGTGAACTCTATCAGGGCCATCCGGGCCATCCGGGCCATCCATCCTTCGACGATACAGACTCTTGGACCTTGGACGATTGCAGATTTTGGCACATCTTCCAGGTAGTTTTCCTGGATCCGATCCGCGTCTGAGGATTGGCATAGTGATGATCTTGGAGTCTATCAACCAGAACTTCCAGATGCATATTCGAACTTCAATGGCTTTAATGACTTCAATGACTTCAATGCATCTTGCCCAGGTTTGATTCTTTTGTGTTTGTCGTGTTTGCCATCTCACCCTTATGAGACTTCTCAGACCACCGTTTTAGCCTCCAGCCGCCCTGGGCAGTTGTATCTGATGGAATCTCACTGGACTGAGGATGCCGGGTTCTACGACCATGTCGTGCATCACGTGTATCATGTGCATCATGCAACTGGTCGTGGAAGATGTGGAAGGGGCGACCATTCTGATACTTCCTGATCTTTGTTGTGCATCTTGAAATGGAGCCCCAAGACACGGCCATTTCGTGGGGAGTATAAGGATTAACTTATCGGGACCAGTGGTTACGGCTTAAGCTATGGGTAGAGGGCGTAGAAGTAAAGACTGGCAGCCCTGTGAAGCGGTTGAGCTGGGTGACACTGGCTCAGTGCGTGCTGCTGGTCGATAAGAGTATTGCGACCACATGGCACGTGATGGCTCTTGGGGTGACGAGTTGTGTTTGCTAGCCTAAGCTCACATTCCTCATCACCCGCTGTGGGTGATCACAGATTCAGAATCTCCGGAACTATGTGAATACATTCGCAAAGTTTGTCCTCCTCCAATCATCGACGAGAGTTGCTGGGGTCCTCCAGTCTTCCTGGCTGCCAGTCTTGACCGACACTTCGACTCGACACAGGAGCCCAGAAAATGTCTTGTAGCTCCGTTTGCATGGGGCATGCTGATTGCTCCGGAATCCTTCCAAGGCAAAGAATAAGAGTTAACCCTAGGATCACTTACCCACCATCAAGACAAGATGCTTTTATGGGCCAGCAGGGCAAGTGACTACAAGGAACTAACTCTTGAATTAACTCTTCCATGCATGTCTTGATGATCACCCCCCAGACTGACAAGAGTTGCCTTCTGAGTTAATTCTTACCAACTCTTCCTTTCACCCTCTACCCATGAGTCACCAGTGGATTTGGTGTAATTCGATGTAATTAGACTCAGTGCACTCTATTGACAAACTCCATGGGTAAAATGGTGAAGATTCGTCACCAGAACTGAGGTGGGTGATACGACCTCACTGTCCCACGTTGACTGTCATGCAGGCTGCTTGCTTTGTATTCTGATTTGATCGCCAGAGCCAGAGACTCACTTTTCACGCAATAAAACTTTGTTCAATCTACGCTAAGAGTTTTTTTGGACAGTCTATGGTTATTTCTGCCGGGACCTCTTGGACAGCCACCTGGAACATGCTGATGCGCAAAGCCTGTTGTCTTCCAACAGTCGCTGTTGCAGAATAAATCCCAACATTCATTTTTTGTGGGCTTCGATTTGTCTGATAGCAGACATAGTTTCCATACTGGGGATGGACAAAATCCAGCACCAGTTGGTAACTATTCGGTCACAGTGAAACACTGCAAATAATGGGAGTACAATGGGGTAAATCATCTACCAGCTGGTGCAGGATTTTCTTCCATCCGCAGTATGTTTCCATCTTATCTCTGAGGCTGCATGTAGGTTGGATCCGGTTCACTTCCACTTTCTTCACAGCAGCTGTTATGAACATTTTTCTGTATCTACAGTACTTTTATCTATCAGACATATGGGTTTGTCTGAAGATAGGGTAGCCCGAATTCCAATGGATTACATAAATATTTTCATAATTTTTCATATTTTGTCATTTTTTTTTCATATTGTTCCCTCTTAAGTAGCTATGTTTTGGGTAGACCCCATACCCATTTCCCATTTTCAGCGCCATTTTGGGGTCGGTCAGGATTGGATCACTACGATGATTGGTCGCCTGAGATGAAAGCTCATTGCTGTGCAACACAGCAAGTGGGCTGCCGGCCGATGGAATTTCATTGTAAGGTCCCTCACTCAGTCATTAGCAGCAACTCCTTCGAAAAAAATGCAGCTTTGCCATGCAGCTAAAAATCTTCCACGTAGACAATCTATATCATGTGTATGTATGTAGATATACCTTTTAGTTATTCTTCCAGTTACATCGCGCCTCACGCTTCAATCTTTCTGGATGCTAAATGACACACTTTCCGACAGGAGGCCGATGGTTGGGAGCAGAAATGGAGCAGCAAACAGAAGGCCTTCTGCTGCGCCACCACAGGGAAGGTGCAACTGGGTACCAACGGTGCCTAGTGACGGTGACGAGGAGGGTAATTGGTCTTCAGAGGCCACATGTTATCCCCATTACTATATCGTATGTTGCCAAAAAATATGAATAGTGGCCGTTCTGTCTCATGAAACTTGTCATCTCAGACTTCCCCCACAAAAAATGGGCAAAACCATTCAGATTTCGGACACGCCTCTTGAAATGCCAGGGCTGCGAGAAGGCTCCCTTCAAGTGCCACACCAGCAGTGTCAATCAGCCTATCCTTTGGGAGAAGGATCACCTAAGCATGTGGCATAACTCAGAATAGAGAGAATGCATAAGTGCAAAATTTACTTGCATTTGTGATCGTTTGTTAATGTACAGTTGGTGTTTTGCTTTCAGCCTCCAGTCTGTAGCAATGGTCAGAACCAATGGAATTGTGGATCCAGGAGCGACGTGAGTGGTGTTGTCTACACGCCAAAGTGGGATGTCCAAGTTTCCAAGCGCCGTACAACTGCAAGGTGCAGCGTATGCCGAGTTCAAGATGTTGAAGCATTGTTTCTCCGGCAGATTGGTTGCAGTGTTGGGAAGCAAACAAGATGGCAGAAAGTTTTATTGCTAGTAGTATTTCCCTTTCTGCTATTTTCTTCCTGCATCATCTGACAAAGATCTTCAGCTCTTCCATGTGCGTTCGCAGTCTGGGACGATCAAGAGCCGGGCAGAGTGGTCTCCGGGTCACTTGGCTGCAGTGGTTTGTCGGTTTGTGTTTAAGTTTTTATTGGCTTGAGGGAACACCACGGAAGTTATCAGAAGTAGCACTTAAAACTGTGCTCAGTGGCCTAATTATTTAACTTACAAGTAGCAATGCTTCTCTCTCATGCTCTTGCTCTGAGACTGGAAAGTCTTTCTCAGAAGTTGGGCAATGGGTGAACCAGGTCCAGAGCAGGATTAGATATGCTTTTGTTGGGTGGTTACCGTGATAAGTGAAGTCTTTAGCTTTGGATGTGGTGCGTGTTTTTGCACCATGTTTTTGTCTATGACAAGCATCATTGGACCCCTATATTTCCCTTTCAGCTTCCTCGAAATAAATATGAGCCTTTCAGCCAGTTTCCTTTCTGCCCTTCCAGGCAAAAAGCAATGGTGCTGCGATCATTTCTTCACAGGCTGCGGTGAGGACTGCGCGCGTTTGTTCGATTTTAGAGTCCTTACATCATAGCTGATTTCGTCTGCGCAGGAGCGGAAGAAGCTGTATGACTGTAAGGCAGTTGGTGATATGCATTTCACCAATCGAGTACAGTACTGACAGTACTTGGGTTCCTGCGCCACCATTTTTTGTCCTGGTTGAGGTCACTTCAGCCCATGCAATTGCTGCATGGCCTGATTTGCAAAAGGTGCGGTCCACGGTCCAAAATGCGGACATCGAGTCTTTTTCGTGGTACGAAATCATATTTCCACAACGCAAAGGAAGCGATGCCCCCGACATCACAGATTCACCATGATTCACCCACGGTGTCGCAGTGGAAGGCCTGGTGTTGCCACAATGAGCAAGTGGGCTGCAGCTCGGGACACATCATGGCCAAATATGACTGCGCGGACGGCTACTCCAACTGGCAAAGGCACGTGGGCAAATCACGAAACTCGTATCGTAGAAGTGATTAAAAAAGGATCTCAGAGGTCTCATAAATTCTGAAAACCTAAGTCTACTCTTGTGTGTTTCAGATTTTTTCCAAAAAGTGTCATCTCATAGAGATCTCGAGACGGAAAAGAGATGTTATCTCCAAAGCTGACTTCGCATACAGGGGATGGTCATCTCAGAAGAAAGACTGGCAACTGGGCAATGATTGGCTGGCACTTGTCAACCAGTCTATGAGATCAGAAGCTTTGTTCTATCTGATTCTAAGTAGCGAAGCTGCCAAATCCAGCCGGACATCGGAAATCCTTCAATTGAGCCCTAGATGCGGAGAAACCACAGGGCTTGCTGGGCTAAGGGTTGTGTGGCAATGTGTGGCAACATGTGCGGGCGAACGCTTCCACTGCGTTGACACAAAAAAGTATTCTGTGTGTTCTTTGGTGCATGGTTGACATGGTTCTTACTATCTTTGCATCCTCAGGTGCTGCGCAAAAGCAGGGAAGGGCTGTGAGAAGCACTATGACTGTGAAAAGGCCCAGCCGTGCTCTCAGAATCGGACCAGCTTCCGGGCCTCAAGCTGCGCAGCTGCAGAGCTCTGCAGAGCTCCAAGGTCTCCTGAAGAGAAAGAGTTCTGCGGGTCGTTCGGAATGCACTGCGGGACTTGCAACCGTTCAGACCCAATGTTTGTGAGATAGGCATTCCATGGCATTCCCATTCACCGGATTCTTGAGCTCTTGGCAGGCTTTCTTAAAGTCTTGCCCAGTTGACTTACTGCTTTCAGTACGTGCGATGCACATTGGTCCCAGTATGAGGGGGTATTCAGATGTCTACAGTTTGCGGCTTGCACTCCCATCCAAAACCAGTTTGAGCTTGACGGTCCATCAGCAGAATTTGCACTATGAGTGAAGCATGGCAGCAGTTACTTTGCGACGTTCCTTGTTCGTCACCTGCCATCGCTTTATGTTCTCAGGTCAGCAAGCTTTGATTGCAAGGCAGGCTACAATCACTGGAAAGTTCTTTGGACATCAGCCAAAAAGCACCCTGACAGAAATGTGGGCGCAGCCCTGCCTCATGGTGGGGGTCAAGAAGAATACCCCAAAATTGCTAAATTACCATCCCAAGATAGTCGATCTTCTTTTCTTCTCTTCATTTGCTGAGATGTTCGCTAGCAACCAGGGTGAAATGACCCATACCATCCTACATGGATGGCTTAAGATTATAGACCTGCCTGGGGCCTGAGGGACTGGTGTTGTAGCGCCTACGGCCGTGGCTGTGCTGCCAACGACGCCTACGACTGCAGCCACACTGACCAGCTGCATACTTGGTCAGAAACGCAGCTGCAATCGCTGTTGAAGCACCTCGTGAAGGATCACCAGACACAAATTGAATTCAAAATGCCGCAAAGGGATGCAAAGGGTCCTTTTCAAGGAGATAATCTCAGCCCTTTTTCGGTACTCTACCAAGAGGATGCTTTCCCCCAGCATGATATACCTAGGTGGAGGAATGAGATCATGACTTTAGGAAGTTTCTTCCGGCGGACCATTTCCTCTAACCTTGCCTTCTTCGGTGTTCTTAATGATTCAATCTGAATGTATGATTTATGTATGTCTAGGTCACAGCCTCAACGCAACATCCGTTGGAGTCTGTTCTGACCTGGTTAGCCTGGCTAGCCCTAGAAAGTGGCCAGAGCAAGAAGAGCAGGATGCACAGTCAATGACAAACGTTTTGCCGTTTTTATGGAGCGAGAAACATCTCAGGAATCCCAGATTATGTGGTGCTGTCAGCATCGTCGAGCTGGATGCGGAGCAAAACACCAATTTGACTGCTTCGCCGGCTATGACAACTGGAAGGAAGGTTGGTCCAGCACAAAGATGGTCTACTGTTGTGACCAATTCGGGATGGGTTGCGAACGCGACGGTGACCACTATGAACACTTGGAGGAGCTTCATATCTCCAGCAGTGATGATTACGATTGCACTGCGGGATATGACAATTGGCAAAAGGGATGGTCCCAAGACAAACAGAGCTTCTGCTGTGGGAAGTACAAACTTGGATGCCCCAAGGGCTGGAGTCAGCATCAGGTGCACTTCGGGCACCACTGGTCCAGTGACTGGTCCCGGCTTGGTCATCATGTTTGGGCCACCCATAAGTCCCACCACAGCCACCACCACGGCCCGATCAAGTATGATTGCGTCACCGACTATGAGCACTGGCAGGTAAGCTGGTCTTCAAAACGAGCCAAATTCTGTTGCTGAGCAGCAAGTTGGTGCCTGTTGCGCACTGGTTGCGACCTTTGTGCCGGAAACAGCATAGAACGAAAACAGAATCTTCATTCATGTTCCATGTCCATATGGACTGTGGTACTAACTGCAGCGGAAGTTACACGAATGCAGACAGTTGGTCCCAAAACCAAAATGTTTGGCACTAAAACGTGGGAAAGTAGTGGCGGCATGAATTTTGGAAGACACACAAATATGAGGATCTTCGAAATCGCCCGCACGGAGCATAAAGCGATCGCTATTGCGGAGCCATAACCAAAGCTGATATATCAGCCTATCTCCATGACATGAATTGGAGCAAAATCATCTTCGTTCGCAATAGAGCATATCATATCATATATATATAATATATATTATAATATATAGTAATATAATTATATATATATTACTATATAATATATATATATTATTACGTATATATATATAAATATTATACACAATATTATTATGAATAATAAATAAATATATATATATACACATACACACGCACGTACAAAGAAAGCTGCACGTCTTTCCCCATTTCGATTGCTCGGCATCACTTAGGCTGCCAGACGTACTCAGTGGCTTGCGACAAGGGCCACACATGAGTCTTGGTCCTTGTGTTTCTGAATCACTCCGTGGCCATCAAATGCTTTGAAATACACAAGCGCACCTTGGGGATTCTTCAGTAGATATGTGGTCCAAAGTGACAATTTCCAGGGTAGGTCCTTTCACATTGATATGACGCCTTGATACCCAAACATGCCCGTGACTGAGCGAAGTTTGGGGCATTGTTGATTGTGCTACAGATTTTGTCCCGAAACACCTTCAGCTACATTTTTTGGCTGAAAGTTTCATTAGCCAAATCATGCAGATGAGTACCACGTACAAAGCATTGCAGTTTGGGATGGCCACGGGATTGTCAGGTTCACCTTGCGCAAGGATTGATTGAATCACCTTGGTATGGTGAAACCCGCAGCCACAAGCGCGCTCTCCAAAGAGACAGTAGCATGTTCAAAGATTCAAAGTGAAACGGCAGCCCATACCTGGTTCAGTAGTGAAAGGGCTGCCATGTACCGCTTTTTTTCGCGATCTGGCAGCAACAACACGTTGCAAGCTGGAGCTTTTTCATGCATTGAATTCATGGATGCCACTCTCTTTTTTTGGGGCCTATGGGGCCTATGTTTGGTTTCCCAGCTCACAACTCAAGTCGCTACAAGAACAGCAGCCTTGGAATCAAGCCATTGACAAAAAACTCAGGAGGCTGTAGCTGATACAATCCACCCGCATATTACATCATATTACCCTGTTAAAAACCTTAGTTTGGTATTGGATCCAGTGATTTTTGGGGTTCCAATTCTGCGGCATCCATCCTTGCGCCACAAGAAGCGACCAGGAGTAGGGGGCCACCAGGCGTGCAAAGCATGGATATCACAACGGCAACACTTGGTCAAACGGCGGGGTTTCTGCGAAGTGCACCTCCATTGTGGAAGTACTTGGAAAATGACAGTGCGACGAAAGTTGGAGGTTGTCCGTGATATCTTTGTGATTTTGTGATATGACATGCCTGGCTTGAATGCTCTCAGCTTTGATCTGATGGCATTTCAACTGGCATGTCTTGGGCACCGCTTACCAAAAAGCGATTCTGTCACAACCAGAGAATCAAAGCGTTCTACTGGTGGTGGAAAGCAACCACGGAAGTTGCAGTGAGCTGGCGGACTTTCCCAGACTTTTCCTTTTTTGCACAGGATTAATTAGAAAAAGTATCTCTTTGAAAGATGTTCACAGCAAACCTTTATACAATGGAAGCTGATGACGTTTCTCCCTGGAAATGGCACACCATCTCAGCTCATTTGCGAGCACAGCGGGATTTGGAGTCGGGGCGGCAGCAAAGGGTCTGCACCTCAGCTGGATGAAAAATGGTTGAACAAGTGATGCTGCCGATAGTGGTTGTGAAAGGGGCAACATGGTAAACCCCAAAACTGCATAATTTCATAATGTGGGTAAAACAATAACAAACCATCCCCCAAATCACCATAAATAGGTGGTATGAGCCATTCCCAAATGGGTGGTTTATTATTATTATTATTGTTTTACCCACATTGCCTGATTATACATTTGGGGATGTTGTAAACCATACACACTTGGTGCTGTATTGTGGGGTTTGCTGAGTTGTGGATTTGCATGAAGTAGACTTGGATGTCTAATGATCCAATTTTCGTGACAGCATTGCACTCCAAGTGCGATTGGATCTGTAGTCACTGTAGTCACCAACCAACACATTCCCAAAGCAGCAATAGGCTGGTTCGGATTGTCTGTTTACTTCTGCAATGATTCAACGAGCCATGGTAGCCGCTGGTAGCCTTTGGCTGCTTCAGCCATGGAGCAAAAGGACACCACACCACAAGAGAGGGGCCCATCACTTGACACTTTCAGCTTTCATCCCTGCCAGACCAAAGCGAGAACCGAAGAAATGTGGTCCCCGAACTGGACCTTTGGAACGAATTGGAATCCTCAACAGTGAACATCAATACAGTGATTGGAATGGATGTGCACGTGAAATCTTCAACCATTTTTGCAGAAGTCTTTAGAAAAGGCCTCACTTTGGGCCATTGGGGATAGCCGATGGCATGATTTTAAGCCATGGCTCGGAGTCCGGCCTTCAGACATGTTGGGTGGGCAAGAATGGTTTGCTGCTTCTGGTAAGTTTTGGGAAAATATGCCTAGATTTTGTGCCTGTAGCATTGGATTTATACTCAGATGTGATTACAAAGGAAGAAACGAAACCATCTAATTGAATGGCCTTTGATTCAGCTATGCTACGATTCAGGGCGACAGCGCGTTCTACATCTTTGAAACGATTGAGTGAAGTCAAACACCATGGTGAATGTGGTGATGCAACGACTTCGGTCACTTCCATTTCCACTTTTTTCAAAGCTGTTGTACATGGCGACATCGTCAACATTTTGCCAGAGAACTGAACTATTTCATCACATCACTCTTAGGCCAGAACTCTTTCGAGCGTGTTTTTGCACGCGATGGTGAACTAAAGAAACAAGGCCTCCGCGATCTCTCGGGATTTTTGGCAAAGCTTAGCTCTGCTGATCGAGTATACGATGTATACGATGTATACGATGCTCCATGTTAGCAAAGGATTCTGTGTCTATTTAGCAAATGAGTCAAATCATGTGAAATCATTTTCGACAATTTTCCTAGTCACGTTGCGTCAACATGCCGAGCATCTGTGGCTCATCAGGCAATCCTCCTTCCGTACACGAGTTGTTTTCAATGACAATGCGCCACTTGACGCAGTACTCGTAATTGAACAGTGGCTGCCCCTCTTGGTTGATGATGTTTTTTTTTTTGTTTTTGGTTATACTGCCCTTCATATGGGGAATCCCTTTTGACTGACTAGTACTACATGGAAAGACAGTAGGATTAGAGCACTGCTCAATTGAGGGCCAATCTTGCAACTAGAATGCCGACACACGACGATTCTCTTGAACTTTCGAGCATTGCGCGCTGCTTTCCCGAGATTACTGAGCAGCGTCAATTCGCTCACTCGTCTTGAGTTCCACAATTAGGACTTGAAAACCAGGCCCGCATTTAATAAAAGATAGTAACTTAGCAGCATCATCCCAAGTATGTGGTGCAGCATATATACAATATATATGATGTATAATGATTTCTATACATGTAAATTAATACATCTAATATCATCTAATATATGTGTATGATATTACGTGTCTGTCTAAAAATAATTTGTGCACACATACCCATTCTATCACGTGTTTGTTTAGCGCCAAGGTGATGAGCTGTCTATGTCTCACTTCGCTGAAGCGCTGCACGAATTGCATGGCGATGCTTGGTTGCATGGATGGTTCAGCCTGGGGTAAACACACCAAAAGATGTGGAAAACCCATGGGGAAACCCTAGGACAATGATTTAGAGGAGGGTAATCAGCCCTAAGATCAACGTGGTTTTGGTGCTGGTTCATTACGCACAAAACATGATGTATATCATAGAAATAGATGTAATATATGTATATATACGCGCAACGCCTGCGCTTTGCCCAGGCGTTGCAGCGTAGAGGTTTCCCATTCACAAACAAATGATGTTGCAAATTACCGTAATTCCTATAGGAAAAATAACAAAGGTACTAGGGACTATTAAACAAACAAGGTCAAAACACCCGAAATTCCTATGGGAAAAACAAAAACGGCATAACATTTGAAATTCCTATGGGAAAAACAACAAAGGTACTAGGAAATTTTAAACTCTCAAATCGTGAAACTTGACATTCAATTAGGAAGATCAGCAAAGATATTAGGGAATATTAAACTCCCACCCCCGTTAAACCTTAAATTCCTATGGGGAAAACAACAAAGGTACTAGGGACTATAAAAAAAAATGTCAAAACACCAAAATTCCTATGGGAAAAACAAAAACGGTATTAGGGAATATTAAACTCCCACCCCCGTTAAACTTTACATTCAATTGGGAAGATCAACAAAAAGATATTAGGGAATATTAAACTCCCACCCCCGTTAAACTTCTACATTCATTGAAGATCTTCAATAAGCGTTTAATTCTCCCACCCCCGTTAAACTTCTACATTCATTGAAGATCATAAGGGCTTAATTCTCCCACCCCCTTTAAACTTCTACATTCATTGAAGATCTTCAATAAGGGTTTAATTCTCCCACCCCCGTAAAACTTCTACATTCATTGAAGATCTTCAATAAGGGTTTAATTCTCCATATGTATATATATATATATATATAATATGTATATATATATATATACATCAAAAAGACTAGGGGTCAGCAAATTTGGGGTGGTCGAAGTTTTTTAAAATGTCGTTTGTTGGAGACTCTTTTTAAAACCCCCACCGTTGTCCTCTCAAAATCTGCGAAAGGTGTCAAGTTTGGAACCTTTTTTTGCGGAAACCTGTCAGATGGAAATGAAAGTCATGTCCTTGAAAACTAAGCCCCACGAACGCACATAGATCACATAGACACATCAAGTGCGCAGAGGGTGTGAATCCTGTGGCAGAAACACAACCGGGTGAGGAAACTCATCAAAACCGCAGCGCTCCCAGATCCAGCTGACACAAGCAGCTGCTTGGACGCTCAGATATGCTCAGCACCGGAGAGCCAGTCAGTGACCAGGCAATGAGGCAATGTGATTGGAAAAAATTAGGCATTTTCTTCCAATAAGTGTGAACACAACGTGTTTGCATGCCTCAGAAACATTTTCCTCTATTTCTGAGCAGGTCTCTGATGATTACCTATGCATTTGACGAATCTAGCCTTTGGCAGATTTGTCTGTTGATGAGCCAACCGCTTGCCGTTACTACCTGACCTTGTGGCTCATTCGCGAAACTTTGTGTCTTAGCGCATACAAGTGTGGGATGATGATTCGGAGCGTGCCATGAGCGCTCGAAAAGATGGAGCAGCTTGGCCAGTTGACATTGAGCTGTTCCCTGGTAGTCTTGTAATTTTTTGAACATGTTTTTCTTCTCCTTTCGATCGACCAGAAACATCATGGCGTCAAAAACGGCTTGTGCTCTCTTTAAAACAACTATATTATGTGTATGTATATTTATATATATATATATTTATAAATATGTAGTTGCTTTCTGCTAGAGCCTCGAGGTTCAGCCAATTTTCCGCCAGTGGTTATGTCCGTCCGGTTGAAAGCGCGGGTGCGTGCACGGCGGCTGAGTCGCATTGGTCGGTTCTCAGAGTGAAGACAGGAACGTTGATCTCTGGAAAGTGTATACCCTCTGGTAATTTAACAGTTTGCTATTGAAAATGACCATAGAAATAGTGGATTTACCCATTGAAAATGGTGATTTTCCACAGTTATGTAAACGTTTACCAGAGGGTAGGCACTTGACAGATTTCAGATTCTAGATCTCAGTAATTTGAAAATCCAGTTCTTGCAGATTCACATATATATATATATTTGCACCGGAGACTCCTGGATTTTTAAGGGACTTCAGAACTGCTCCAGCTTTTTGTTCCGCGTCGTGTCGTCGTGTCGAGGAGTGGCTTCAGCATCTGCAGCTGCAATTGGGTGGGGCCTTCACCTGGGCGACTAATGAGTCTGAGGCCGCTGCAGCGACCTGGGAAAATATGGCGACGAGTCACCGAAATAGAAAGGGCAATGTCTCAGATATGTCGATAGAAATCCTGAAATCTCAGTTTCTGATAGTTTCTGATAGTTTCTGATTGTGTGAACTCAGTGAAATCTCACTACGAAGGATTGCACTTTGCCTCAGAATTGCCTGGCATATGGAGGTTCACATCGTTCACACCGCAACGACCCCTTGCAGGAAGGCTTTAGCATCAACAATGAGCACTTCATTATTTCTGGCTTGCTAGGCGCATCAGTCGGTGTTTTTTTGGTTCATCCCCACATGACATCACCAGATAGCCCCATGCTTCAATGCTACAACTCGAAGCCCCCAGTCCATCTTCGTCCATCTTCAAATGACGAAGCCTGACTAAGCTCACAGCCAGGATTTTGTTTACCCAGCCATATGACCTGGTCAACCCAACCTATGATGCATGAAGATAACTGAATCGGCAATGGGAGCTGAAACCATCCATTTTTGGGGTCAATGTTTTATGGCCGATATTGAGTATTTATCTTTGGACCTCACCATATCTGTCGGTTAGTAGACTTTTTTTGGGTCTACTTTTCACGCTGATGTCAGTTCAATTTGAACCACCACTGTCGACCCGGTCTGTTTCAGCTGCAGGAGAAGGCAGCTTCGGTTCAGTCTACCGATGTTCCTGTGAAGGGCATCAGATGGCGGTCAAGATCCTGAGCACAGCGACTGGGTTCGGTGAAACGCGGGGGATCCGGTCCCGGGAGACGCGGGAAGCAACCTGCAATTTTTTTGAATCCTCAAATGGGGGATATTGGAGGATTACTACATGGCTGGCTGGGAAAATCATGTTTGATTACTACATAAATTTTCTAAATGAGTCATTTTCCAGCCATGTGACTGATTACTCTAAATGGGATAATCATTGGAGCACACGGATTTTTTAGAAACACGGTGTCGAGCTGCCCCGAGAATGCCATGGAAGGAGGTCAACAGGAATGCCTTCGCCATGTCCACTGTGTGTGGTGGAGGACCTTGGAAACGATTTTTGCCATGGTAAGTCAAGTAGTCAAGTGAGTCCTTAGTCTTCACTGTTGTCAATATCCCTTGACTAAACAGCGGTGCTACCAGTCGATCCTGGCTGAGGAAAGGATCGCCATGATGACCAACTGTGCGCAGGACATTGTACTGAGGTCCCTTGCAATGCTTCTTTGGGGGATGAGGCTAGAACGAAGGATCCGGTCTAAATATGATATCAGATAGATACCTCGAAGAAGGGTCATTGGGCCATCTAGACTTTTCACCTAGGATGGCATATCCGACGGATTTCACTGCTACTTCATTTTCCCAACGGTACCATTCCCCCATAGACTGATAGCCAATTCTTAGAGGAAAGTAGTCTAAACCGTCTAAATCACCCCCCATTCACCCAGGGCCTGTGTTAGTTGGAAGGATGGTATATCCCATCACCCATGACATATTCACATATTCCATTACCCTTGCTGGCTGGTTGTATAAGTTTTATCCCCTTATCTTCTCCCAGACATAGGTTATGCAAGTTTCCCTAATCTTCTCCCACACACGTCGTAAAAGTTATATCCCCTAATTTTCTCCCAGAGGTATTTTTGTCTATGAGATATAGGTTTTTTATTAGTTCTATCCCTTGGTTTTTCCCTGATATAGGTTTTAAAAGTTCTATGCCCTAATTTTTCCTAGAAATACCCTCTGGTAATTTAACATAGCTATTGAAAATGACCATAGAAATAGTGGATTTACCCATTGAAAATGGTGATTTTCCATAGCTATGTTAGTTTACCAGAGGGTAGATCATGATTACCATGATCCATGGCAGCCAAGTGTCTCTTCCGCCCCCAGGCGGATGCTGCAAGAGCCAGAGATCTTGGGATGTCTGGGAGGCCATCCTAACATTGTGCAGCTGCGCTGCGCAGCAGTTTCTCAAGAGACCTTGCGGATTTATATTGTGATGTACCTGGGCTTAAAAATCACGATGGGACTCCTGGGAACCTAGTTATCCTAGTTTTTTGTGACCATACCCTCTGGTAAACTAACGTAACTATGGAAAATCACCATTTTTAATGGGAACATCCACTATAAATGGCCATTTTCAACAGCTATGTTAGTTCACCAGAGGGTAATGGTGATGAATGAATATTGATGATATATTGATGAATGAAATGTCTGGGAGCCAATTCTTCGTGACACCGGAATGGTGATGGAATTCCCAAAATGAAGGTTTTCTAAAATGGGGGATCCCAAAGTCACCATGGTTGTTTCAAGACTTAGTCATGGTCTAATGAGTCTAATTACTTGGATGATTTGGGCGGGGTACTCCCATTTTAGGAAGCCCCCAAATGACGGGATGGGAGCCAATTTTGAATCAGCAGAATGGTGATGAAAAGCCACGCATTTAAAGATCGCCGGATTTTCCAGACAAAGCCATATGGGGATGGATTGCGTTGCCTCTGGGGGGCGAAGACCCACACACATCCAAGCTATTTCGAGGGTGATTGGGGGGTACATGGATTTGGTTGAATCGCAAAAGAAACTAACAATAACGGATTAAGATGCTTTCAATACGGGTTGATGGTGTTTAAGAAATCTTAAGAACCACTTTCCAAGGGCAGCCCCTGTTGGGTTTGTCCGAAGGTGCCCCAAAGTCCAGTGAATCCAGCGGTTTGGTCAGTTGGTCCCCATCATTTTGGGAACACCTGGGAGGCCTGGTTTTCAGCTGAGGCAGCTGCTTGAATGCAGCGACCTATTCACAGAGATGCTGCGCCGAAGACAACCATTCAATGAGCGCGATGCACGAGAGGTGCACGGTGAAGTCACGGTGAAGTCACGGTGAAGTCTGGGACCTGTGGAACTGCTGGAACTGCTGAGCAAAATGTGTAGATTCTACTAGATATTATGGACTCCATTGACTCCACGCATATTCTTAAGGAATTTCTAGAGTTGTTGACAATTGATAAGCCATTAGATTTCATCATATTTCATCAAAGAGGGTTAGAAAGATGGGTAAGGTCGGTATGGTTCACTTGTGTAACAGCTTTTCGTGTCAGGCAGTCTCGCAGCTGGTGATGGCTGTGGTGCACTGCCATCGTCGCGGTGTTGCACATCGGGACACTGGGCCACAGGGATAATCCCATCCGCTCCCATCCCTCCTGAAATTTTTTGAACACCCCCGTGCTTTTTTTGGTTCCAACTATGTGTGAATCAGCTACTAAACTTCGGTTAGATTGCTTGTAGTTGAGGGTCTTATGGCGGCTGTTGACTTCTTCTGTTGGTTTGAAAAACAGTTCGGAGGACATCAAGTTGGAGAACGTGATGGTTGCCAGTGTGACACCATTCGTGATCAAGCTCATTGATTTTGGTCAGGCAGCCCTTGAAATGCCACATCTCTCATTTGGGAAGGAGCTGTGGATACCGAATTTCGGGCCAGGCAATCATGCATGATCAGCGGTCAGAGCATATGCGGAGCATGGTCTAGTGCTCAGCGATGTCCATTTGTGAGTCTTGCATCAACACGATACAGGAATCAAAACAACTCTATGCAAGAATGTGTGCCAAAAATCTCAGCATACTCTCCCACTCGCCACATCAAACTTTTCAAAAATTGAGACATCTGCCAAATTTCTTGGGAAGGCTCGGACGTGGCAGATATGTTGATGTTTCGCTCATTGTCTCAACTGCAAAGCCCAAAGTTCCCGCTGACTGAGCCTTGTTTTCCTGCAGAATTCTCATCATGGGATTCATAGAAGTCCTTTTCCCATTGCTTGGTTGATTCCTAGAGGGCTTTTCAACACTCACGTCACCACGAATAAAAAAGGCGACATGGCTTTTTTATGGTCGATTTTTTTTGGATGCCATAAATTTTTTCCATCTGATGCAATAAATTTTCCAAAACAAATTGGAGATTCTAGGGGATGGTGATCCGGTGATCCCCCTCCTTTTTTTGGTGAATCCATGGTGGCCCTCGAGGCCAAGACGCTGACCACAACTTCTGTGTACAATCCGCCAGAGGTCAAGGCGAAAGCTCCTGCGCCTCGGCTGGAAAAACTGGTTCCAAAAAGGTGGAACTGTTGAGGTGAAGATCTTTGAAGCCAAGAGCTGTTGAAACTGTTGCTGTTAAGGTATATTGGGGGATGTTAGGTGAAGATCTGTCGGAATTTACAATTGGGTGAATTTTGTCCCGAGATCGGCAGGTGTTTGCAAGAAAAAACATGCACCATTCCAGTCTGATGAGCTGCTTCAGCTCCAAGTGGTCAAGTTCAACGTGAAGCATTGTAGCAGTTTCTCTCTTGAGCCTTGTCGAGTCTAGCTGAGGAAGACTTGAGCTACGATGCTTTTAAACTTGAACCTTGGCATTACACCCTGCATCAACCCTCAGCATGCTTTCATCACATCTGTTTTGTTGTCCCTTCAAAAATATGTCCCTCAGCTTGACGGTGAATTCGCAGGGCCATGCTGGCCATGCTCCAGGATTGCTTTGCGGTTGGGGTGGTCCTCTATGCGCTGTTGATGAGTGCTTGGCCGCAAACAAAGGAGCCAGGCGACTTTGCAGCTTGGCTGAATGGAGCCATATGGAGATCCATCAGGTGAACATTTGCTGTGGCATCTCTGAGGAGAAGCACCCCAAATGGAAAAGCCTGTCAAGTCCAGTGCAAGATCTCATCAGGGGCTTGTTAGAACCTGATCCGTCCGGTTCCCAGAGATCTGCGTTGAGGGGCAGATGATTTTCACCAGCAGGGTCACTCTTAAAGTCGTCATAGCTTCCCAGCTACTATCACCTAACCTCCTATATACACAGTATGCTTGAGAGAAATCAGAGTCCGGACTCTTCTGCATGCCTTGAGTGGCGCGGTTTGCCCCTTTCCCAGGCTCAAGCGACTTTCTATGGCTGATGCGCTACAACATCCATGGCTCTGTCACAAGGGTGACATGACTAGGTCGGTGAGTGTCAAACATTACCCAATTATAGTTACCCCCAAAAATAGATCAAATCTATGGAAATGTAATTTACCACTACTAGGAAGTACTTTCCTATCCTCTTGAAGGCAACTTGGGGGTTGCTATACTTTGACCGAAACCTTGACCTTTTTTGACCTTTTTTGCACCCCTCCAGACACATGTCTGGGGCATGGATTCTCAAGGTCTGCAAAGAGCTTAAGCCATTTAAGTCGGACTGCAAGTTCGTAAGGCTCCAATGTGATAGCTATTGAAGGCTATTTGCTGTCGAATGTTCGACAAAGGGACACCAAGAAACCCGACAAACCAGACCATTTTCCTGGACTCTGAGGTAGTACGGCGACAAGGAGCCCGTTGGTCGGGAAGACAAATAGCCACAAAAAGAGCCTGGCGATATTTTGACATGTTGCTATCCAAATCCCCTGATTTTGGTGTATATAGCCAGGATATTCATCTCAAATCCCCATGTTGCTATCCAAATCCCAGATATTTTTCCGCTAAATTTGGGGTCAATCTGGGTGACACTTCAAGCTTCAGAGAACCCTTGGGGCCTGTCAAGCAACACATCCGAATATTAGCGTCATCTGACGAGGTATATAGCAATGTGTAATAACTTGTTCAGGCCTCACCAAGAAAAGGTGTAGAGAAAAGCCCATGAGTCTTGATTTTCAGGCTTGCGACCTCATTATCCCATCATATCCCATTCTATCCCCATTAATTATATATATATATATACATGCTATAGCCATGATATCCCCAACATATCCCCATTATATCCCTATCGCCATCATACACCTATGGTATTCCCACGATAGTTCACCAGTCCGATCGGATCCCTCGATGATCCCAACGGGATGTCAGGAGCTCGAAGACACCTACACCCATGGATAGAGAGACGGAGATGCAAGTCCTGTTGTCGGCGCAATCCTTGAACAAGGCATTGCAAAGAGAGAGCCTTGGCACCACAAAATGCCAGCTTGAAGCATGGAAAATGGTGGTCTTTCACATCAGAAATGGTGCTTTTAAGGTATGTTAACATGTTTTAAACACGTGCCATGTACTGGTTGTTTTGTTGGGCAAGTTTTGCTGGAAAGCGGGAACTGGTTGGAAAAGCCCACATCCGGGTGGGTGCCATTCATGTGTGGCGCAATGCCGGTGAGAAGTTTAACGAGTTTCAAGGCATCTGAGCAGTAGCTGCTAAACTCCTGTTGGTTGATGATTATAGGGCCTCATACTACCAGTTACTACCCTATATACAAATATATATATATATATGGTAACCCCCCAAAACCGACGTCTTTGAGGTCGCAACGCTTTTGGGACAAATTACCCTGTTCAGTTTGAGTTCCAGTGGGGGGTACCATATATACATATACACACATATGTGTGTATTAATTGTTGTCTTACTGTTGAACCCAGGTACTTAGAGCAATTTTGTCACCAGAAGCGTTTGCAAACGTTTGCAAACGAGTCCAGGGGCCCAAGTACTTAGACTGGCTCAGGATTCAAGGTTCAAGATTCAAGATTCAAAAAACACTTCTTGAATCCAGAAACTCTCCTGATCCTAGCCCCAGGATTCAAGAAGTTTTTTTTGGACCTTGAATCTTGAATCCTGAGCCAGTCTCCACCCCCTAAGCCATGTAATACCACTTTGACAAGTTTTTTGCACGTCGTCTTCTGCCAGGTCCGCTACTCAGGGGCTCGGCAGCAGGGAAGTGTTTGATGAATTTTTGGTTATGTTTGGCTGAATTTTGGCCCATGTGTTTTTGATAGGGTTTCTTTGAATCAATATGTTCTGCTGGTCGCTTCTTGAATTGGCTGGAGGTTTTTGGCCGCGATGCCAGTATTGGCATAAAAATGTCCATTTTTCTGTGTGTAGCTAAAAGGTTTTTAGCTGCGCGTTTGACATCTGCAGGGATAGTATCAGCCCAAGATTTGATCTGGTTGCGTTAAGAGCTGATACCTGATGAGTATTTTTCCATTTTTAAGAGCGTGCCAGTGATAGTCTTGACGAAATCCCTTGCTTTTTTCGCAAGCTCATGGTGGGCTATAGCACACATGTTGTGTGGCAAGCGGGTCCTTTTCGTTGAAGAGGCTTTCGATTTTCCTTTTATCATATTTTTTGCGCCTGTGCCCAAATTTGTGGTATTGTGACCCTTGGGACCCCAGGAATGGTCCTGGTGTAGGCATTTCTCTTGCCAATGGCTTGGCAGTACTAGCGTTTTTCAGTCTCAAATTTGTTCTCAGGTCGATGATTGATCTGGAAAAATAGACACGTGATATTGGCATGATTGCCTTGTTCGCAGTACGTACTTTATTCACAAAGGTATTTTTTTTCTTAGTTATCTAGTTTACGTTGATGGTCTTCACCATTGGATCCTTCTTTGCAGGTGTGGCTGGCATGTTTAAGCGCGCTATCCCAGAAAAAGTTTCGAGCTTCTTCTCTGAATGAGCCTTGGTAATTCTAGCAAGAGTTGTGAACTGTAATGCTGTGCTTCAGCAAAGGTTGTCACCCCGACATGTGATCAGTTGCAATCTTCCTTCTGCAAGATTTCGCCTTGGTTTTTTTCCTGATTTTTGCGGCGGCATTTTTAAAGCTATGCATTGTGGTCATGGCACTGCGCCTCCTCCACCGCCTCCACGTGCTGAATTTCATCAGGCTGCGCATCCCGGTTTTCCTTTGCAGCAGATGAATCAGATGAGTGGTGGGTACTTTCTTCCTCAGCACATGATGGTCCCTCCTGGGGTTTGGGCACCTAGCCATGGAATGCCAGTTACGCACCGTTCACATGAGCGGTCGCGGTCACCCAGAGGATCGCATGATGAGGTGGCTTCCTTGCTTTCTCGGCTTCCCCCTGCTGAGTTCAAGAAGGTTTTCAATGATTTGCCGGCATCTCTTCGAAGCGTAGCCTTTGATGCTCCTGATGGCATCATCACGGACGTTAAGTCCATCTCTGACAAAGAGTCTCGCATGGAGATGTGTCGAAAAATCAACAATCTTCGTCGAGAGAGAATCCAAGCTCTCGCGACACCCCAGGCAGCCCCTTTTTATGCCGAGGATGGCATGAAGATTGTACCTATGAGCCGATTGACTGAGCGGCATTTCTGGGATGTCTTCCATAGGATCCCGTTGAATACCACGGATCCAGTCAAATGGAAGAGCATTCTCAAATATTTGGATGCATGCCCTGAAAAACCACGTTCATCACCCAACGCTCGTGATATTGAGTGGGCAACCCCAGATCTGCCCTTTGAGGCTGCTCCAGGTGCTGCTTCGCCTCCCCGAGGTTCCCTGGATGCATTGAGGGCCATGGCTGTGGACTCACCCGCTCAGAAAAAGCAGGATACTACCTCCCCAGATTTCCATGACTGGGTGAAACGGCGGGTCGACACAGACACTGCCAGCCTCACTATGGCCAATTTTGAGTTGGATACCAAGGCGCACCGCATTGCTGGGCGTAAGACCCCGGCCGCCAAGGCCTTGTTGGCCCTGTCGCCCTTGGAAGCCATGAGTGATCTATACCAGACAGTCTTCCGCATTTATTTGCGAAAGCTGGAGCGAATCATGCCGAAGCTCGGCGCAAAAACAAAAGAGAACACATGCCTCAACAAGCTCTTGGATGCTTTGAATGTCAGCCCTGACGAGAAAGTTCCGATCCTTCTGGCTCGGCTTCGCGCCCTTGACATTGTGCGAAGGCCTTCCTGAGTTGAGCTATTTTCTGCTGATCCTGACCTGAGTGCTGCCCTGAAAGCTGCCCTTGATGTTGTTTTGTTGTTGCGTTTTCGTTTGTTTTTAGTCTCACGCCGTTCTTGGGAGGACCAATTTCTGCTGATTAGCCTGGCAGGGAGTCTTTGGCTGATGTTGTTACAGGTTTTGCCTTCAAGGAGAAATGTGCGTTTATTGAAGCTCATTGGCTCTGACCCGTGGGCCCATGGATGGCAACTTCTCCATCAGTCACCATGCCTTTATATTATTTTTCCTTATCCTTTAAGATGTTCTCGTTTTGGGCCCTTGTTTTACATTGGTGAAACAACGAGCTTTCGGCGGCGTATGGTGGAACACCTCCTTCGCCTCATTGCTCAAGATGGTGCGACCCAGCAACCGTTTTACCAGGTTGTTCGGCACAACTGCTGTCAAGGGACACAGTTGCTTGCCGCCCTGAGTTTTTTGATGATGTTGCCGGTGCATCTCGCTCCCGTGGATACTGGCGAGCGGCTTTTGGCTGAAACCGCCCTTTGCCATAGTCTGGGCACTTTGAATCCGCCGACGGTGTATAGTTTGCTTCCAAAAACAAAGCAGCGGCAAGTGCAGGGTCTTCGTATCTTTGATTCTTTTCGCTCTTTGTGTAGGCTCCGCCCTTCTCAACCTGCTGCAGGGGAAATGTCTTTATCCTCTTCTGTGGGTCTTATTCGGAAAGAGTGGCGTGATGGTCTTCAAAAAATTGCTGCCGCGCTGGCTGGGCGGCGTTTTGAAAAGTCAAACGCTGCCGCTCTCGCGGCATGGAATTTGAGTCCCGGTGCCTGGGCTTATGTGGCTCGCCGAGTTGACCAATTTGAAACAGGTTGGCGGCGAAAGCGGGGCCTTCATCTTTTAGGTATCATCTCCAAGAAACGGAGAGACCTTTGCCCTTTTGTGTCATCTGTTGCGGTGTCTGTCCCCTGGATGGGCTCCACATCGGCACTGCGCATTTTGCGCGGTGAAATTCGTGAATTACTTTCCGCATGGAGACGGAAGGGGCACTGGGTTCCCATAGCAAGGCATGCAAAGTGCTTTGTTTCGTGGACTGCTCCCCCTACTTTGGCAGATTGTTTGACAAGCACGTCAGTTTTGCGCCAAGCTCTCGAAGAGGGTGTTTCCCCACAGTGTATCTGTGAGGCTGTGCGCTTGCAAAATCCTGGCTGGCCTGTCGTTACTTTTGACGGCTGTGAGCACATCGCCGCCCCCCAGGGTATGGTGCCTTGGCCTGAACAGTTACAGCATCTCGCTGGGTGGCCAGCAAGCATCGGCCTCCCGCCTCGTTTTGAGGATGTGGTTTCTGCAGTTCGGACGTCTTTTCGGAGGCTTCGTAATCGATGCCGTATTCCGATTTCGGACTCCTGTGCAGTGGAAGCAGTGCAGCGCTGCTGTTCCTCCTTGTGGTCCTTGCCTGTCCAAGACAGTCGAGTCCCAATAACTTGGTCTCACGTTGGTGAAGCAAGGGAGTGGCTCCAAGCGCAGGGTGTTTTCGTCTCTGTGTTTGACCACAACCCCTCTTCATTGGGAGTTTTTTGTCCCAAGTTGGTTTTTGAGCATGCTTGTCAGTTATTGGATTTCTTGCATCATCAAAAACCTGATGCGAATTTTGCTTGGTCGGTCTCGGATATTGGTCGTCAGCGGGATGTGCTGAGTGGCATGGCTAACATGTCAGACCTTCCTTCACATTTGATTCCCGGTTTGCACACTGTCGTTTCTAAAAGGCAGTGGTGCATTGCCACAGTTTCTTTTTTGCCAAAATGGAAATGTCCAGGGTTGAAGTGGCGACTTATGGTCAACAAGCACTACACCCCGTGTTGTGGCTTGCATTCGCTTGTTTCACGGGGTCTAGACATTCTTTTGGATAGTTTCCCACGGCATTTATGGAGTGACTACCTCTCCATGGGTGAAGTGGTGTCTTTGGTCGGTGATTTTAATCTCCATGTTCAGGATTATCAGTTTGATGTTGGTTGTACAGCTGCCGCTGATATGAAGGATTGTTTCCGGCATCTTCCTTGTGAGCGTTTTGCCGACATGTGGGATGGTCTGGCTGCTTACTGGAAAGGGCTGGGTCTTTCTTGTGTTAGTGTCCCCCACAAGCGTTTAGGCTGTCGTGGTATCCTTGGTCGATGTGATGACCCTGGTTGGACCTGTATAGATTTCGCATCAATTCGTAAGATTTTGTTGGCTTTTGCAACCACTAATCACGTTGCCATAGGTTCGTGGTTAGGTCGTGAACAGCATGGTGCCCCTCAAGGAGATGCCTTGAGTTCTGCGCTGCTGAGGCTATGGAAATGGCACCGTGAATTCCACTGTGGTGTGGCTGCGGTCGCTGAAAGCGTGCCAATACCAGCCAGTAAGTGTAAGCTGCTGCACCTTTTACAGTCTAACGTTTTGGTGCTAGATGTTTCGTACCGTGATGATCTTCGCATGTTTTTTGCATGGCGTTCATGCTCGGCACTTACGCCTGATGTTGTCCGATCCTGGGCATGGGTACAGTGGCGCCAGCGATTTGTTGTTGGCACGATGTCCTTGGATAAAGCGGATGACAATGTTTTTACAGGTTTGCAGGTTGCTTGGGATGGTGCATATATCTCTTTGCGGCCCTGTACGTCGGATCCCTGGGCTGCCCACTGCTATGGGGAAACTGACAACTTTCCTCTCAAACCATGGCAGTCATGGGCACCCCCACAGCAGTTTAAAACAGCTGTAAGGGGTTTGTTGTGTAGGTCCTGGTATTTCTCCACCTCGCGTGCTGCACTGCGCGAAGCGCTATGGGAGGTTTTTGTGGCACTTGTTTATCGTGCTAATTTCCCTTGGCATTTCGTCAGACAACATTCCAAGGTTTGGGCGTTGTCCTGGGTGCCGAAGGGTGAGTTGCTGCCCACCCCCACTCTTTTTTCTGATGTGGAATGTGTTGTTGGTCGCTTTGAAAACTCCCTGGTGATGATTCAACCTTGATTTGTTTCTGCGAAGCAAAAGCACGGTTTCACACAGGGACGGCTTTTTGAGGGTCTCCACCCCCTAAGCCACGTAATACCACTTTGACAAGTTTTTTGCACGTCGTCTTCTGCCAGGTCCGCTACTCAGGGGCTCGGCAGCAGGGAAGTGTTTGATGAAATTTTTGGTTATGTTTGGCTGAATTTTGGCCCATGTGTTTTGATAGGGTTTCTTTGAATCAATATGTTCTGCTGGTCGCTTCTTGAATTGGCTGGGGTTTTTTGGCCGCGATGCCAGTATTGGCAAAAAAATGTCCATTTTTCTGTGTGTAGCTAAAAGGTTTTTAGCTGCGCGTTTGACATCTGCAGGGATAGTATCAGCCCAAGATTTGATCTGGTTGCGTTAAGAGCTGATACCTGATGAGTATTTTTCCATTTTTAAGAGCGTGCCAGTGATAGTCTTGACGAAATCCCTTGCTTTTTTCGCAAGCTCATGGTGGGCTATAGCACACATGTTGTGTGGCAAGCGGGTCCTTTTCGTTGAAGAGGCTTTCGATTTTCCTTTTATCAACGTTTGCAAACGCTTTTGGTGACAAAATTGCTCTAAGTACCTGGCCCTCTATGCTAGCGGGCCAACATAGCGCTATGCTCTCAGATACTGCATGCACTTGGAATATTAAAGGTGTAGTAAGCGACATTTTTAATGAAAACACAAGGTATTTTAGAGATATACTAGATATATATATATATATATATTATAGATTCATGGCCAGACTGGAATATTACAGGTAAACTACAGGTATATTAAATGGTATATTAGAGGTGGATTAGATGGTATACTCAAGGTATATTAAAGGTATTTTCAAAGTCACACAATTTGTATATTAGAGGTAGATTCATGGTATATATAGCGGTATGCTAAAACCATATTAAATAATATAGTAATGGTATATCAAATGGAATATTAATGATTCTAACATGGTAAACTAATGATTGTATATTTAAGGTTTATTAAAGGCAAACTAAATGGTAAGTAAAAGGTATTTTAGAGACATGGTGGTATTTTCAAGGTCAATGAAATGGTATATGAAAGGTATATACCTTCAAGGTATACTAAAGGTGTAGTAAACGTTTTTTTTTTTAATAGTATTAATTAATGGTACATCACATGAAATATTAACGGTCCTTGAATGGTAAGCTAAGTATAGATGATACATGAACAGTTTATTAAAGACAAATTAAATGGAACATAAAAGGTATGCTAGAGGTAGAGAGGTATCCTAAAGGTGTATTAAAGATGTTTTCATGGCCAATAAAATGGTATATCCAAGGTAGATTAAATGATATTTTGAAGTTTTTTGCATTGAAGGTATATTTAAAGTATACTAAAGGTATTTTCAAGTCCAATTAAATTGTATATTAAAGGTAGCTTCATCGTTATCCAATGGAATGCTACAGGTATATGGAATGGTATGTTAAAGCTTTTTTAAGATTGTATTTAACAGGGGATATTGAAGGTATGCCAAAGGTTTACTAAAGGTTTATTAAAGATATGTTTATGGTCAATTCACTGGTATATTAAAGTATATGGAATCTACAATGAAGCTATATTCATTGTAGATTGAAAATTTCTGATCAAGATATGATTCTTACTCTGTTGCATCAAACACATAGACATATCCAAAATGTTAGAATCTGGTGTTTTGAAAGAAATACTGTATGACTGAAGGAAGGCTTAATATTAGTTTGAAAGGAAGACTGCACTTCTTCAGAAAAAAAACACTGCGTGTTTAGAGGAATGCTCTGTGCTTTGTAGGGGTACTGTTTCTTGAACGAAGCCATACTTTGTCTGGAAGAAAAATTGCAGTTTATGAATGAAGTTGCCTTTTTTTAAGCATGGAAAGGAACGCTGCAATTTAAAACAGATTGCTTCCTTCAAGAACTGTTGTGCTTTCTGACCTGAGTATGTGCTCATCTTTTTTGAAAGTAATAGTGTACCTACTTTGTTTTTGCAAAAGGTTCCCAACAAATACTACCTCTTTGACATCAACAAAAAACTGAAAACGGTAGATCTTGGGGGGGTAGCTATATGGTACGCATCATGTCTATGTAACTCTATGTATATACTCATTATATCCTCAATGGAAAGGAGGTGCAGTAAGCAGAAACCACAATATGACACCATATGTTTCCCACACTTCTGAGGTACACTTCTGCCTGCTACCCCTGGTTGTACAAAATCTGCGAAAATAGCACCCCCGACGAACATGCTAAAAACACCCCAAATTGCACATTTTAGGGCAGTAGTAGGCAATCAATTCCCTGCCTACTAAAAGTCTCAGAATATATATATATATGTATATATATATATGTATATGTATATGTATATATATATATATATTGGGGATCATCATAATTCTTTCTGGGATTCCCCATTCGCCAATCAGCAAATGGCCGGATTCTTAGACATGCCATAAAAAGTCGCAAGTTGGCGAGGCGTGGTGCCAGTTGTTGGCTAATCAGTGGCGCTGATGCCGAGAATCCCTGCATTTGGTTTCGCACCATGGAGAAATGGGGGATCCGGAAGTCTTACTGGGCCAGTCAGCCAGTCCTTTCTTGGTTCCGTCTTGGAAATGTCATCTTGGTCCGCTTAGGAGTAACACTTCTGCCAATGAAGAGCAATGTGATGGTTCATACTCCTTCGGAATCTAGAGATGGTTCTTGCCAGAATCCGCTAAAAAGAATTGTTCTTATGACTGTCAGTTTTTTTTTGCGATTGCCAGCTGCATTTGCGGAACATCTTCCAGTTCACGAAGGCAATTGCATTGGATCTGAGGAAAGTCAACAGATGCAAGCTTCGAGAACTTTGAGGACTGACATTGCCCTGACGATAACGGTTTGCTATGTACGATTTGGTGGACAATGATCATACTTCTGAAATAGTAACAATATTCAGCAGCTGACACTGAGCCTGAGTGGTAAGCGGTGAGTGTTTCCTGCCATGTGATCATTATTATCAGTGGTACAGCAAGTGGTAAAGTAAGTGGTGCACTAAGTTTTTTTCACCATATTATCAATATCATCCAGAACATATTATCAATATTTATCAATATAATCCAATAAGGATCAATAAGCTAAGTATCAATATGGAGGTTTCCTAAAATGGGGGTACCTTCAAGTCATCCATTCTCCTAGGATTTTCCATTTTCAATAAACCATCCAGCTATTAGCCCGGGCCCCATAGGAAACCTCCATATGATCAGCCACTCCGCTCAGGAGAACTTGTCGCACTTGCAACTCGAAAACTCGATGGAGACTTGGACACTACAGGAGGGTTCTTTTCTGGGTTCCCCCCCAAAATATGGTAACAAGAAACACGGGTTATCCGATAACCCCACCGAGTAAGCCATAAATGGATGGTTTTTAACCACGAATGGTAGGTTTATGGGGTTGAATCTCGCATTACCCTGAGAAAGGCTTTCTTTCTCTAATTTGGACCCGATACACAGTCTACCCACATTCTGCCCCTTTGGTTTCCAAAGTGACCAAGTGATTTGGAAGGTCTATCAGTCTATCAGCTCAATTTCTCATCTCAAATGTCAGGTCGACATTGCAAGCCAAATCTTGAAACTCCGGGAGTTTACAGCTCGCCTACGCGGTCGCTGCAATCGAAGTGCCCGGTCTGTAAACAGGGCGTGTAGAGGTTCTGATGTGCTGAAGTCCTCGAAATGAACAACAGAACAATAACAACATCAGTTGGGCCTGTCCAAAAATAGCAGATACCATGGGACACCGCAATTGATTCCAATTGATGATAATTTGTGGCCATATGAATGAGGAAATGGTGATGCCCCGGACAGTTTCCTGGAGGCCTTTGACGAAGCGACATGGTGGCATTCGAGTTGTGTCCTAGGCAAGTTGTTTTCGAACTGGCCTTTGACCTGGCCTAAGTATGTTTGTGGGGTATGGTATGAAGCTATGTGTTTACTATTACGTATGGAAAAAGAAATATATATATATGGTCTAGTCTAGTATGGAGATATTTGTTTCAGATGGGTTGCAATCCAACGAAGAACTGGGGGGGCCTCTCAACAGTCTCAAGCTACGTATTGCAAGTTGCCAAACCTGATGGAACGTCCTTGCCGAACATCGTCGAGAAGCTCACTTTAGTTGGACACTCTTTGTCGATTGAACAGAATACGATTTTCTTGTGCCACTTTCAGATTTCCCTGAGGTTTTCAGTGGCTACTGCAAGCTGAATGAAGAGGTGATCGATTTGATTGGCTCGCTGCTAGCTGGTTTCAGAGGCGCCCTGGCACCGAGGGCCTTTAAGATCCTTTAAGCCATCCTTGGTGACCTGGTGAGGCGACAATCTCGTTGTTACGACCCCGGAGATCAAAATCAGGCGCGCTGATATTGAATTTATTGGTGCAGGTAAAAACTTGTGTGGGACTTTCACTTGGAATCATTCTACTCAGCACCTACCAGCCCTCTTGGGCTGTAAATCATTTGTTTTCCATGTTTCAACTATAGAAAGAGCGAAGTTATTGGCACAAACCTGGCAGGATGTTGTTGCATATCGCAGAACAGCTCGGCCGTGAGCGCGGCTTTATGTCCTTCCACATAGGTGCAGTCGTCTCAGCCGTCGCGGCGTGTCGTCCCGTGGGTGTCGGCCCAAACTCGGAGCAGGCCGTCCAGAGCTGATCCGTTCGGTGAACGCGCAGCTGCGCTTTGCCAAGATCCAGGGATGCAGGTGGGGCGCAGGAGATTTCTCATCTCGAAACAGTTAGGTCCTTAGGTGTCAACCGTGGCTGGGAATCCCCCAACTAAATGGAGGTTTATAGTGACTATAGCTGCGAAATTCATGAAACTGTAGTGACTATAGCTGCGGGATTTTTCATGATTTTTCAGCCATGGAGCTGACATTGAGACGCTAATGTTGCAGTCCCACAGTCTCATCGGGGAAATCCTCTACTAGGCAGCTAGGAAATGAGCATTTTGATCTCTGCTCATGCGTCTCTGGTGGCAGGCAATATTTGGTAGGCAGCTCATCCCCATACCTTCAGTCTGCGTCTCAGATCGATTTTTTTTTGGCCTGATCCAACTAAAAGAAAAAAGTGAGCCGGTTGTGATATACAGACATGATGCGGAACATGGGATTTAGCATGGTTTATCATTTTCATTTATTTACAATCTTTTTTGCATTCCTTCTGAAAGACGCACTAAGAGGCAAAAGCAAAAACTGGAATTTGCCAGAAAGCGTAACTTGATGCTTCCTTTCAGAGCTCATTCTTGCAAGGGCTCTCAATCGCAGTAGATAGAGCGCCTGTTAGCACCTTTAGCCACATCAGGCAGCTAGTAGGTATTGATGTTCAATTTGACCTGGATAGAAAGGATGGTCAAAAAGAATTCAACGGCCCGAGAACAGCTGCTTATTTCCTGTCAGTTCAGCATTTGAAAGTGGCAGTGCTTGTCACTTTGCTGAACGTTCGTGTCCAGGTGCGAAGTGGTTTCCACAGCAAATGGACTTTTGCCTAGCTTGAGGACCGATGTCTTTTTTTGATTTCTTAACTTTTGCAAGACAGTTTTCAGAGAAATTCGTGCATTTTCAGCCCGGGTTCAGCCTGGATTCTTGGGTGTTGAGATGGTCGTCATTATCCATCCCGAAAATGAGACTCCTAATTCATGATTCGGCTAGTCTTGGATGGGTGACTCAACCATGAACCATGCTAAGTTCGTTTGGGTTTACAACTGTTTTTAAAATGGGTTCACAAAGCAACTTCGGGGTTTCATCTCGTGAAGATGCGGAGGCTGGCAGATGAAGCAATACTGAGTACCTCTGAGATCCAAGCACTTGAACGGGCTGAGCATCTTGGTTGAAAAGATCACCAGATTTCTGGCAATTTCGTTGACCTTGTGAGTTGGGGAAGACTGTGGGATTCACCCAATACACCATTCCAGCCAACCATTTGGGGATCATTTGCAGCGTCCCATTTCTAGGGGTATTCTCAGGGTCCAACTGCTGGTTGGATGGCCAACCTGTGCAGCCATAAGTTGGAAATGCACCGGTTCTACCGACCTCACAGAAATCCGAATTTGTATCCACTTCTACACTAGCTCTCCATCGACAAACTACAGGTTTCATCAGTTTTGAAGGATCCTGAAACTTGATTGATGACCCTTTTTCCGAATTAAAATGAACATTTGGGGGGCAAGGGTCCTGTCTTGGTCAGTAACGGACAGAGATAGGGTCCACAAACCAAGTGAAAAGATGTGAAAAGGCCATTTGGGGGGTACACACCATTTTCAGACAAAGCCTTGGCAGATGTTTATTCCAACCATGCCCTGAATTCTCTGAGGGATTCCGTGATGCAGGGCCAGAAGGACACCGCAGAGTGGTATCTTGGAAGGATAAAGTCAGTGTCAGGGAGTCATGGGGATACCCCCCAAATCCTCCTGGTGACCATTACCGTACATGACGATTGGTAAAAAGGTTAACTCATGGTAGCCACTGGGGATCCCCCATGACAGGTTAGAACTCCCCATGGTAACCCACCTGCATAGCTTCACGAAAAGCATCGACTGAGCTTGCTGACAGGTTCGCCTTTTTAACTGGGATGATCGACAAAGTGCCCTGTGGCGCTGCGAACATGAGCTGATCATGGCATGAAGTCGGAGAAGCCATGTGAGAAAGCAACAAAAAAGGGGTCATTTTACATCACCATTGTGGGGGTGGTTTACTATCGGGGCCTCATTACATCACATTGTGACATGCACACTTATTCATCATCATTTATCTAGACATATCTAGACTCAATGAATCTCAATGAGATAACTAACACATGCTGATTTGAGCTCGACTGGAGAGGATGAGCATCACCAAGCAGCAAGCGGGTGCGGATGGTGCGGAGTTTGCAAAAGAGACTTTCAGGTACACCAGCATGTGAGCATGACGGTGGTGCTTTTCATCCAAGATTTGAGCACAACGCAATCGTGGCAGGAGCCAACTCGGACTGAAGTGACACAGAAGTGACACAGATGGAGGTTGTACTTCACAGTCTCAGCCACTTTAATCATCTTTAATTTAATCAACTTCCATATCCTGCAGGAGAACCACCAAAGTCCATCAATATCTTCCGCTCCTTCTGAATGTGGCCTACAATCAACGCCCAGTGTTTTGGGCTCCATGCGCGGCTCCTTGGCTGCAGCTGCGGGTAGTGCAGGTAGTGCAGCTTGCTGCAGCTGCTGTGCCAGGAAGCCCTGGCAACTTGGGTGCGGGTCGAATTGCCGGTTTGGAGCCTTGGCAGATCCGGGCGGAAAGGATGCGATAGGTTTTGGGTTTTGGCGGATGGGGTTTTGGCAGATGGGCAGATTCATCATTTTGTGGAATGGTCAGTGGTACAACCAAGATGATACATCTGGGGTGGTGAGCCCCCATTTTATGGCTCCTCTGAAGGGTGAAGAAATTCATAAACCAGGGAGTTTTGAGGTTGAGGAGAAATGACATGCATGTCATGCCATCCAAGGATGCCGACCGGCCAGCAATGTCTGTAAGCCAAGTCCCGACCTTGGCAACAGTTGGTTGATGCTGTTGTCTTGTCCAGGCTTTGGGTGAGAAGATAAGATAGTGCAAAGGCTTCCTTTTATTGGCATTCAGTGAGTAGGATACAGTGGACATAGCTGAGATCATCCTCTGTCAACCTCGCTGCAGCGAAGCTGAGGCCAAACGAACAATGTCCCCGCTACTTGGCTTTGAAGAATTCAACCTGAGCTATGTCACTGATACCAAGCTGCTAAGCTTCCCTGACATTGCCGACATGTCAGGACGGAGAAGTACGCAGCCCTGCTGCAGGCAGCCGCGATCTTGCGCCGGGAGGAGGACGGAACAGTTGAGCAGCTGCGTGAAAAAGCCTTGTTGGTTGATTCCTGTAACGGTTACTGTAACCACTAGTTTTTCCTGTGGGTTTCATGATGTTTTTGGCATTTTTAAGAATCAGAAATATGGGGATATGACTCATGACTGAGAAATGATTAGTTTGGAGATTATACTATCCTTTATAATTGTAGAGCTTCGCACACCGGCGATGCCATAAGAGTTATGGTTATGTATAGTAGTGTGAGCGTTGGTGTTGTTCATGTGCTCTGCGCGTGCGCGCGGTGCAGAGCACAGTGTGATGTTCTTTTCATACCGCAGTTTGTAACCATCTTACCACACATCGTTTTGTTTCATCTATGTGCTTGTTCTTCTTCTTCTTCTTGTTGTTGTTGTTGCTGCAATGCAGCGCAGCTCATTTTCGACTTTTTGTGGACCCCTAAAAATCGTCAAATAGGTGGTGCTTTCGCTTATTTTTGAAACCCTCGGAGCAACAACGGTGTTTACAGTGTGTTTTTGTGGTTTATATATGCGAAAAGGACAAAAACACTGTATTCTAGATTATTTTACGATGTTTTTGCTTCCCGAGCGCAAAAAAAAATCGTCAAACAATGGCACAAAATTTGTCTAAAATCAATTTCCAAAAGCATCGTGTAATTTTAGCATCTTTTTTCCCGCCCCTGGACCCCCAAAAACGTGAGAACAAAAACAGCGTGAAAGATTTTGGGGGTCGGCAGCAGGAGCGCGCCCCCGGGTAGCTAAAGCTAGCTGTAGGCTACACACATGGCGCGCGCACACACTTGCTCGGAACAATCTTTGCGAATTCTGATGTGGAAAAAGCACTCCAGTTACACCTGACAGGAATGGGTCAGTGAAAAGGTCCGAGAAAATTCGAAAAGTTACTGTACCATCGCCAAAGCCATTGCTAGATGCAATACATTGGAA